CATTTCAGTTCTTCAAAGCTCTTACAATAAGGTGCTGGGTGAAATTATCTCTTTTTGTAATTAAAATATTTTACTGGGTGAGCAAGCTAACTGCCAAACTACAAGGGACCTATGGTTATTTTAAGAGGCAATTATCAATTTAATGGTTCTAATCATTATTGTAGTTCAATGAAATAGGTTTTTCTTTTTTCTTTGTGGTATGCGGGCCTCTCACTGTTGTGGCCTCTCCCGCTGCGGAGCACAGGCTCCGGACACGCAGGCTCACTGGCCATGGCTCACGGGCCCACTCGCTCTGCGGCATGTGGGATCTTCCCGGACCAGGGCACGAACCCGTGTACCCTGCATCGGCAGGCGGACTCTCAACCACTGTGCCACCAGGGAAGCCCTGAAATAGGTTTTATATGCATGCAACTATAAAAGCAAATTAAAAATTTTCAGATACTTTTCAAAAGGATTATTTACTCTTGTATTTAGCTTTTTAGTTTAGAAAAAATATTAATATTAGAAAAACTTTGTGCCAGGTTTTGGAATTATAACAAAAAGGATCATATATTATTTCAAAAACTAGTTACTAATGTTTAATAATTTGTTTTACTGTATAGCACAGGGAATTATATTCAATATCTTATAATAACCTATAATCTGAAAAGAAAACTGAATCACTTTGCTGTACACTTGAAACTAACACAATATTATAAATCAACTATATTTCAATTTTTAAAAATTTCTTTTAGGGCTTCCCTGGTGGCACAGTGGTTGAGAGTCCGCCTGCCGATGCAGGGGACGCGGGCTCGTGCCCCGGTCTGGGAAGATCCCACATGCCGCGGAGCGGCTGGGCCCGTGAGCCATGGTCGCTGAGCCTGCGCGACCGGAGCCTGTGCTCCGCAACGGGAGAGGCCACAACAGTGAGAGGCCTGCGTACCGCAAAAAAAAAAAATAATAATTTCTTTTAAACCTGCATTCACATCCTAGAGGAACATGCCTCATCTCTCTTCATACATATGCTGCATTTTACCACATGGCAATCTTAGTTAATATTCCCTGACCACTGAAGCATCTTTAGTTTGTTTAAATTAATGTTCATTGTGATCTTCAGCTCAGCAGCCTAGTTTTTCTTCTTTCAGGACAAAATGTTATCCTGTATCTTATCCAAAGCTCTCTGCCCATTTGCTGAATATATACTTGGTCTCTGGGTCACAGGGCAGCCATTGAATTTCCTTTGTGTGCCTGATCACAGGTCCTTTTTACCCAGTATGCACAAAAATTGCATATTTGAAAATGAGTAGTCCAGTAAAATGTCCCTCACAGAATTATTTCCATTATTTCTATTACAAATCTTATTAAATTTGCACAACTACAAGAGACTTCAAACCATTTTCAAATTATTGCTTTATCAAATGAAAGCAGATATAGACTCAGATGAAATATCTTATATTCAAACATATTCATTTCTCATTTGACATCAAATTTCAAAATACATGTGGGTCTCCATTTAACCTTTTGGTTTTGATCCACAAGGAAAAAAGTAATTTAATTTGGGTGGCATGTCTCTCATATAAGTAAAGATAAAGAAACTGAGGGCAGGTGCTTTATTTTCTCTCAAAGTGAATAGTAAAGTAGCAAAGATCAGTATTTCCTGGAAAAGGGGAAAATCTAATGCTTGTGCCAGGGGCCTGCAAATCCGTTTGAATATCAAGCACTGTTCTCAGAAAACATGAAAAGTAGGACTCACACATGATGCATGGGAACTTTTTCCAATTTTTATAGGTGTTATGATTAATAAAACACACAATTTATAGTAACCTTTTGACAAACTGACCAAACTGAGTTGATTTCTCTCAACAACCACTAAAATTTCAATCAGGTGAGTGTCTGAGAAATTCTTTGACATTTAAAAGAGCTTTTGAATGCGTGCAAAGATTTAGCTATAGGGATGTTCAGTGTATCACTAATTATAGCAAAAAATGTGAAACAACTTAAATACATGAAAGTAGGAGTTTGATTAAATAAACTATTACATCTATAATTTTGTCCCTTTAGGTTGTCAGAACCACAGACACGGCCAATTTCAAAATAATAGGAGTTACTGCAAAGAAGCTTTAGCAGCTGTGCTACAGGACACAGCTCCTGCTCTCATACTTCTCCTCTCAAGTGTCTCTGTTGGCATAGCTCCTGAAGATACCAATGTCCTTAATTTCTCTCTAACTTAACTTGTATAAGCATAGAAGATCCGATCAGATTATTCAGTCACTATCATATATGGAACATCTCCCATAATCATAATAAGTGGGCAGGAAGCTGAGATGAGATAATAGAACTTCCCACCTATCAGAGGATAAAAGTAACTGCAACTATCAAGATTATGACATACTTTCCAAAAGTATGTGAAATTAGCCATTCAAATAATGATTTATAAGGCATGGTTCTGTTTGATTTAGGATATTTTTACAAAACACAGTTTTCACCTATCTTGAAAACTAAAGCAAAGAAACCCCATAAAAATTTTTGTGTAACTGACATAACATATGAGTCATGCAGTCTCCGCTTGCTTAGTAATTTGTCATTCTTTCAAAAATAATTTATTTATTACTGTCAATCCTGATGCAGCTTTGCAACACATGGGATATAAATATGTTGCTCTTTTAGCATTTTGGCTAAGAGACAGTAGCTTTTTAGTAAATGAATTCATAAAACATCTCCTTTCTCCTTGGCAATCTTCTAAAATGCCTCTTTACCTCTATCAATTTTTCTCTTTCTCTATATTTCCCACTCTGTATCACCACTTTTTCTTCTTTCCCCTGGTGCTAAATATCTGAGAAAAGTTAGTACAGAGTAATCAGCTATCCAAAGTTAGAAGAAATAACCAGGCTCTAGTGATAAATGAATGGTTCAGTACCACGGAGAGCAGAGCACGTGCTTTCCAAAATACTAACCTATTCTCCCCCAAATTTTAGTGGCTATATTATTAAAAACATTCTTATTAGCCAGCCATTGGCTCAGACTGTGATTCCACGCTGAGAAGTTCTAGCGCATCTAGCAAAATTGGTTTCACCTTTGAACTATCTATGTTAAAGGAACAAGTTCCCTTCCCCCAATCTACATGGACAAATACATCCATCAAAAACAAATGTATGAAAAGTTAAATTAAGTTAAAGCAGACATATAAAATACCAGCTCCAATTTGTTTTTTATTATTGTTACATTCTGTAACGAATTGTGATAAATGATTTCTATGCTTACCCTTAACCGATGTGCCTACTTTGTCCCAGATGATTAATAAATAGTTATTACACTGGCACTGTCCCACAGACTGACCTTTGATTAGTAATTACTGAGGAGCATAGGACTTCTTGTCTCCTTATGGGCTGTGCAGTTGGCAAGCCCTATACAGTTTCAAGCGCCCCAAAGTGGAATACTATACAGCCACTTAAATAAAAGCAGAGAATGCTCATTGATGTACAGAGACTTTCCCGCATGCTAATCTGTAAAAGCATGTTATAAAGAAGCATAATCCCATTTTTATTAAAGAATAGTAACATGGTGAAAGAGTCAGGAAATATGACAGTGGTTACCTCTGGGTGATGGATTTATGAGGGATTTTTTTCCCTTTGTTGTTAACATTTTCTTTCCTGTATATCCTTAATTTTTATACCATGATTATATATTTCCTTTATGAAAATAATGGGACTCATGGAAATTAATTATTATTTTTAAGTTGATCGTTCACTCAATATTTTTGTATTTCAATTCACGGTCTATCACTGTGTCTCTATGTGCTTTGATAAGTGACTGGTTTAGAGCCCACATAAATAAAGTATACAGCCTTAGAAAGTGAAAAAAAATGTAGGTATCCAAGAAGCACTTATTGTATGGAAGTGGAAGGGCTGACGTTATTTGGTTTTTATTTTCAAAGCATCCAGTTTCAAAGACGTATTTTGTTAAATATCATAAATTTCATATGGCTTAACCTAACATTAAATCAAGTTATAGCTAAGTAAGATTTCCTCCCCCCTTTTCTAACGAACAATTAATTATGTGCCCATAACAAATGGATAATCTTTACTCTTATCTATTTTACAAAATATATCTTGGTATCTCCATTCAGAAAAAAAAAAATGCTCCACTAAAATGCTCCAATCTGAACTGACACGAACAAGTTCTGCAAATTTCTGCCTGGTTTCTGCACTGTAAGTTATCTTCAATTAATTAATCCTTATCTCCCTAGGGTAGGCCTTTGACAGGTCTGGAACAAAACGCAGCCAAATGTCAAAATAGGAGGGACAGAAACAGCTCAACGGAAACACATCTGCCAAATCCAACTTAGATAAATTTATTGCTTCTGGGACAGAGAGCATTTATGAAATTGATATTTGCAAAGTAGAATTTGTAGCATATTAATAAAAAGTGCTAAATGCATAGGTTTTTAAAATAGTGAATCACTTAGGACTCTAATGCCTCATTAATATGGCATTAATCTATTTAGAACAATGCATAATAGAGCCTACTTCCTCAGTAGATTATTCTAGTGTTCAATTTGTAAAGGAATAAATAATCCCAAACTTTTTTCTTAAACTTTTGGGTTTTATATTTGAAACCATATAAGTTTTATGTTACTTGAGGTTTAAATTTTACTAATATGCCCACGCCTCTGTAATTACAGTCTCCGGGTCAGGGTAAAGGGAATTGTTAGAAGAAGCATAGTGAGAAAAACATGCTTTTTAAAACCTTCTAGTCCCCTCCAAAGAGATGGGGGCTAGAGGCCCCACAGAGCAGTAGCTGCTGAAACAGCTAAAATAATGGGAGAATCAGACAGCCTTCTCTTGTTTACCTGGAGCTCAAAGGCAAAGTAGGAATAGATCCCTTTAGGTGCCACCAAGATCCATCTCCTTGCTCCAGCAAGGAGTGTTTAAGAAAGACTCTCCTGTGTAAGCAAACTTGGAAAGAGCAGGCCAAGTTTTACTTCCCTCTTTTCTTGTTATCGCCAGAAGACAAAAAAAAAAAAAAAAAGCAACACCTGCAAGGATCCTACATTACTCATGCTTGGGATAATTACCATGCATCATTTGTGCCACCCCCCTTCCTGGCATGTTGGCTCACAGCGAGTGGCCCAACCTCCAGTGACTCCTTTGGTATTTGCTTCTTGCAGCCTACATACAGCATATGAATCATCAAGCCCCCCAGCAGAGGGCTGCCTGGAAAAAATAAGGTTTCAGTTAGAGAGCCAGCCATATGGATGCATGGTTGACTCTTACCACGCAACTCTTACAGCAAGTGAAACAGGATAACAACCAATGGCCATGCTTTTCTCTTTGCCAATGGATGTCTGGGGGGAAAGGCAGGAGAAAGTGTAAATGTCAATGTCAAAGAGTGAATATTCAGTTCCAAAATTGTGCATAAGTAAATCTGAAAAAAAAAGAATCACAGCAGCGTCTTATTGCTCAATTCCAGCCCACGTACAGAGAATTAAAAAGGCAAAGCAATGTGAGTGAAAAGCAAGAGATCAGACTCAGCAGGACTCTGCCACCTTGGCTTTGAATGCTGCCACATTTATGAGTTTAACTGTTTTACCACCAGCCTTCTCTGATCTCACTTGATCAAGAAAGATGGCAAAGGTTTGGATGACCAAGGCAGCGCTGACACAAAATTAGCTCTAGGAATAAGATAACGCGCTCCGTGAGGAAGGAATTACTAAACTTAAAGCCAGCTAATGAATTCCTGGTAGAATTCCTGATGGATGCATCCAAAAGCTGATTCTTGAATTAGCCACAAACCTATGGCTCGTAACTGTTATTTGCCACACACAGAAAAAGGATCCAGGACGCAGTTTTTGAGAGCTAAACCGCCGGCAACATAAGTGGGTTGCATCTTATTCTCTTCAAACAAAAAAGAACAATATAGGTATGTTGGATTGCTGGTTCTTTGGAAACTAAGGATTCGGTGTCTTATGCCATGTTCATTTCAAAAGGACTGTCACTGATAAAAGAGAAATTGTGGATTTCATATGTCTTCTCAGAAAATATTTATTTCATTTTGAAGTATAATTCCAGTTGAGTAAACATTACTTCTGTTGTCATTGAGATCATGATTTCAGTTTTCAAAAACTCTAAATTGTGTTTACGTGTGGTGACTATAACAATAGAGTCACAAATCTGCAGCAATATTATAGCAATGTGGAACTAATCTGAAACATATGATGTATAGTTCATTTCTTTAGCCTATAAGATAATGAAATGCCAACCATTACATACATATGCACTTCCTCTGCTTAGCACATCCCAATGTAAATTGGTTACAGTTCATGTTTAAAATAGGATGTTTTTTCTAATACTAGGAATTTTCCTTATGGAATCTTATTTTTTTTAATTGAAGTATAGTTGATATACAATGTTGTGTTAATTTCTGCTGTACAACAAAGTGATTCAGTTATACATACATATATATTCTTTTTCATGTTCTTTTCCATTATGGTTTATTACAGAGTATTGAATATAGTTCCCTGTGCTATACAGTAGGACCTTGTTGTTTATCCATCCTATATATAATAGTTTGCATCTGCTAATCCCAAACTTCCAATCCAACCCTCTGCCGCCCCCTACCCCCCGCTTCCTTCCCCTTGGCAACCACAAGTCTGTTCTCTATGTCTGTGAGTCTGTTTCCGTTTCGTAATGTCATTTGTGTCATATTTTAGATTCCATATGTAAGCGATATCATATGGTATTTGTCTTTCTCTTTCTGAATTACTTAGTATGATAATCTCTAGGTCCATCCATGTAGCTGCACATGGCATCATTTCATTTTTTTTTATAGCTGAGTAATATGGAATCTTATTTAAAAGAATCCATCCAGGGTTATAGTTTTGCCTATTCTATTTTCCCCTGTCTAGCAAAATGCACTGATTATAAAGAAAGGGTGGCAAAGAATAGGGAATTGACATAACCTGTCTGGGCTTATAGGAAGGCCTTATACAGTAGGTTCTATAAAACACTTGTTGAATGGTTTCCTGATCACAGTATTCAAATTCTTAGCCTGGCATTCAAGACTTTTCTTCATTTGCTTTAATCTAGCCTTTTTCCTTGTCTCTTATTGCTTCTTCTCATGTGCCACGTGCTACCACTGAGTAAAACTTTTGAACTTAATCGGGTTCTGTGCTCAATACTGTCTACCTCTAACAAATTTTCCTCACCATTTTCACTAGCCCAAGGGATCAGACTCATTATTTCCAAGATCCCTTTAAATTTTGAATTTAATGACTTATGATTCAAGGAAATACCACTTCCTATGCGAAACATTCTTTGATTGCCCCACCTGAATATTATCTCTCCTTTTGTTCCCCGCTCTTATTGATCATGTCTTCTTCCCAATGTTGTATATCTGTGTCCATGTCTTATGTCCCCTGCTGTTTTTGCAAATTCTCTGAGCAATGCTGCATGGCAGTATTCTGCATTCAGGAAATTTCCTCTAATTACATATTGAATTACAGTGAATTACGAAGCAGCAGCCCTGACAAGGCAGGGGTTTTATACTGTAGTTTATTTATTAGTTTTGTCTCTCCTGGGTGTTGGAAACCCTCAGCCAGACGTAGCTGAGCTTTTTCCCCAAGGTAATTAAGATGCTCTCCTGCCTTTGCCATCTCAGTTTCATCCTGTGATTATTTGGCATAATGATGTGACTGCTTTACAGAAAACTTGATGTTATATCAAGTGCACAAATTTTGTCTTTTTGTCTATAATTGTTCAATTTCATTCTTAAAGTCCAAGCTTTCTGCCTTTGCTACATGGAGTTCATCACCTCTGCCTGCTGCTCTTTCTAGATTTAAACCTGATGTGACACAACCCGTACAAACCCGGAAATATACAGATGCAACACTCTTTTCTAACTCTTTCACAGACCATTTCCATGCGAAAAGAATCACATTGAACTGCCTGATATGAAAGTTGCTTCATGAATTTTGCAGACCTGGGGTGAGAAAAAGAATATTTAGATCCAAGGCTTGAACGATTCACCCACACAATTTTCAAAGGCACATTCCTTCAATTCTTTTGAACACCTACTGTGTAACATACAATTGCCGGGCGTATTACGTCATTATCATCTCTGAGTTATTCTAAACATAAAGTTGACAAAAACCGAAGCTTAAAAATAAAATTGAGTGAAACCAAGGCCCGTAATCTTTAGTAGGTTAACCTAGATCATAAAGCTAAGTAACAGGATTTCAACTCAGGTACCTAATGCAGAGTTCAGTGCTCCCAGGGGGACATCCAGGGTGTCAAGCAGACGTGTCAACTGGGGTAGCATATGGCTAGCGCTTCTCCTGGTTCATTTAAAGCCTCTGAGCCTCATCTTTGTGTTACCCCAGTGGTAAAAGCCACCTCTTCTGAAGACAGCTTCACAATGGTTTATCAGCAAATTATCTTATCCACTGGGTCACCTGTTTTCACGCTGCAAACGCCTCCTGGTTAGAGGGACTGACTTGCTTAGACTCTCGGCTTATCCTACATGGCTCGGGACCCTGCTGATTAACCCATTCATGCCTGCAACCGAGTAAAAGCTTTGAAAAGTAAGGCGTTGCTACTCAAAGTGTGTTCTATGAACCAAGAGCATTACTACCACCTGGGAGCTTCTTAGAACTGCAGACGCTTGGGGTCCATTCCAGACCATCTGAATTCATACCCCTTTTAATTTTGAGAAGCCCTACCAAAGCACTATATTCATTGAAGCTATTTCTCTCACGATATAATAATTTTTGGTATGTTTGTGACTAACGATATAATAATTTTTGGTATGTTTGTGACTAAATGCAGTGAAAAAATTCTCAATTTTTTGTTTTTAATTTGTTCGTTTGTTATCAAAAAATGATAAACTCTGCAGGCAGTCTCCATTTCCCCTTGGAAAGTAATCACTTGTATACAACAATTGTCTCCAGTCTGCCCACTCATCTAAGAGCCAACTTTGCCTTGTATCTCTACAGAAAGTCCACTTAAGGAAGCTTTATTTCTTATGGCAGAAATGGAAAAAAAATTAATTGATTTGGTAGGTTTGGGAGGACAAAATATCATCATGGAAATATCACTGGAGTGGGTTCAAGAAGATCTGCATTCAATAGGAGTCTTCCTCCAACCAGGCAGTTACCCCTGGGCAGGCCCCTTCCCACTTCCTGGCCTTGGGTTTCCTCATCTGTATTAAGGAGTTTGGACAACATAATCTCCAAGGCTCCTTCATACTCCGACAGCTTGTTGGGACTTTACTGATACTTCCTTAACAGATTTCTCATTGCCACCCTAGTCTCTTTCTCCACTGCCAAGTCCGGATAAGTCTTGCTTATTGCCACAGCCTTCTAATTGGTCTCTTGCTTCATTTTGCCCTCTCCCCATCCGAGCTCCATACCACTGCTAGTTCTTTTGTTCTCTAATCATGGCCTTCTGGCGCTTAGAACACTTCAATGGTCCCAAACACCTGGACATGACCTGCAAGTCCCTTCCTGTTCCTTGAAGATGCTGTGCTGTCCTCTGTCCCTAAACACACTGCTGCTCCCAGCCCCTCTTGCCTGAAACGTCCCCTACACTCCAGCCTGTTGACCACTGACTCCTGATAATCTTTCAAGCATCAACTTCATCATCACTAGGTAAGGTGTTCTTGCTATCAGAGTACATTGTGCATCTCATCATAATATTTGATGCTTCTTACTGTATCGCTCATTTAGAATTAATCTTTGTGAGGGCTGAACAAGTCTCCCTTGCTCATAATCGTGCTCTTGTAACCAACACCAAGTAAGCATTACAAATTATTATTTGAATTCCATCCTCTGCTTCCTAGTTATTGATAAACTAATAATAGTAAACTCTAAATATTGCTTTAAGGATTAGGTATAAGTAATCTAAAATGCCTAGAACAAACCCTGGCATATATTAGGTATTTAATATATGCTAGCTATTACTACTGTTACTATTCTTTTCTCTCTTCAATTATAGCAGTTAGTACAGGCTTAATTGTAATTACCTGGTAAGTAAAAATCTCTTTGTCACTTTGAATGCTAAAGGGAATACACAAAGAAGTAGATGCATTCACCTAAATAAATGCATCAAGTTAGTGGTTTTCCTTATTCCAATGAAACAGAAAATCATACTGTTATGTACTAAGTATATATAATTAATCATATTCATTGTAAATTATGCAGCAATGTATTTGGAAAATACAGTATTGAATTATCACAAAGTATTATTAAATTCTTCCAGTAAATGTTCCATGATTTGTTCCCTTGAAGCTTAAGCTAATGGAAAAGGCTTGAGAGAGATTATCATTTTGAAGAAAACAGATCCTGGATACTTATGACCTAAAAGGAAATCTGGCATGCATCTCTTAATATTCTTAGAAATTACTCATAGGTTCAGCTTTTATTAATTCATAACTCTTTGAAGTTATGAATTGAAAGGGGTCTTGAAGTCCAATCTCCCATCCAATATTCGAATCTCTGTGGCACCATCTTAGCCAAGTGGATGGGCAGCCTCTGCATGGGCAGTTAGATGATTAAATCTCTATTAGTTTCCATAGCAACATATGATTTATTAATGATGCATCCATGAGTCTTTAAAAATATATTATCTGTAAGTCAGAAACAAATTATAACACAGTCATAGGAGAAAAAAAACAAAGTGGAAGGTAGATAAGGAAATAATTGAGATATTAACCAAACTTTAGTTTGATTTTTTTTCTCTATCAGATATTAAATAATAACACAGATAGAGTCATGACCAGCAAACATACAAAATGTCAGTCTTATTCTGCCACTGTGTTATTGTTCATTATTACTTATTCCCAGTTTACACCTTTTCTTCATTATCTCTCACCCATTCTTTCTTTATATTCCTTTAGTCTTACCTCTGTGTCTAATTCCTGCTTTC